CTGGGGCAACCAAGGGACTGTCCTCGCCCAGGACCTTCTTTCCCAACAGGATTAACAGAGAGAAGGAGGGGTGCATCTCTCCCCAACATGGCCAGACAGGGGAGCATCCGTGCACAAAGCTGGGGGACACAGGCCTTGGGCTCACGTGGGAGGAGGGAGTGGGCCAGCTGACACTCTCCGAATCCCAAACACATTTCCATTTATAAAAGGCATCGCCATCTCATTGAGTCCCAAATGGCATTTACCTTGATGGCTTTTTCCGTTAATTGTCTTGCTATTTTGTATCTGTCCAGTTTGGGGGAAGAAGAGTCTTGGAGAATTCCTCGTTTTAATTCTGCAGAAAAAAAGCGGGGGTCAAGAGAGGAAAACCTCCAAACCCTAAGTGATGACACTCAGGCCCTCGACGGGCAGTCCTTGGGTCTTGTCAGTGCCCCACCTCTCCACAATACTCTGGCCCCTCCACCAGGGCTCTCACTGGCACTAAACGTTGCTGGCAGAGCCCCAGCCCTCCACACAGCTTCTTCAGCCCTTCTACCCTGCCTTGGGCCGTGACTGCCGGTCTTGGCCAAGCCCAGTTCATTCAGGTCCAGGCCCTCCTCCTCTTCCCTCCAGGCAGCCCTGGCTCAGCGCAGCCACGCCTTCTCCTTTCAGACCTACATGTGGAATCCTCGCACCTGCCATCTCTGTCACTGCCCATTTCCTGTGCCTCTTAATCAGCCCAGCTAGAAATGTTCATGTGCCCCCACACCATCCTCACCCCAAAGAATCCCTATGTTGTAGGAGAAACCAGCTCAGCTCAGTCCTGCCACCCGTGACTCCTGAGGCTCTGCCACCCGAAGTCTGTGGCCACCAGGCCAAAAGAGGACAGAGCTAGGCCTCTTTGTCTATGTCTTAATTGGTTACCTGAGGACAAGCTCAGAAATGATTTTGATGTCAAAACCATACTAACCTAGCAGAACACATAGAAGGGAAGTACCATAACAAAAATTTGGGCAAAAACTCTTAAGATAGCATACAGAAAGCACTATCCATAGGCGTTAGAATTGGAACCTAGAATGCATAGCTCACACCTGTAATCCTAGATATGGGAGGCTGAGGATTGAAGTTTGAGGCCAGCCCAAGCAGAAAAGCTCACAAGACCCCTTCTTAACCAATAGATGGGCATGGTGGCATGTGTGTCACCCAAGTATTGTGGAAGGCTGATATTAGAAGAATGGAGGTTCCAGGCCGGCCCCAGACACTAAAGTGGGCAAGACGTGGTCTCAGTGAAGGAAGTTGGGCCGGGTAATGTGGACTTGTCACCCCAGCCTAAAACAGACTTCACACCTAAGTGTGCCTAAGCACACACCTGGGCAGGATGTGAGGCCCAATCTAAAACAATCTAAGCAATCTAAACCACAAGTGTACACAGTGAGAACCACTCTAAAACACAACTAGCACAAGCTGTACACAGTGGCTCAACATGTAGTCCCACCTACTTGGGAGGTGGAGATCAGTGGACTGAGGTTTGAGGGCAGCCTGGGTAAAAAGAAATCTCAAGGCATATGTGAAAAATGGCTGTGCCAGCACTCAGAAGCATAAACACAGGGTATGAATGCACGGCCAGTTTCCTTCCAAAAGAAATAGAGCAAAAAAGGTCTGAGAGTGTGGTTCCCCTGTTAAAAGTACCTGACACAAGTTCAACCCCCAGGACCAGGGCAGGAGAGAGAGAAAGAAAATAATAAAGCATAAATAACACTGCATTATGATTCCATCCCAAGAACTCGAAAAGAGTGAATTTAAACTCAAAGAAACTACATACAAAAAAAAGCAAAGTGCAGACAGTCACAAAATGACGTGTGTATGTGTGTGTGTGGGAGCTGTCCTGGGGCTTGAACTCAGGGCCAGCGCTGTCCCTGATCTTTGCTCAAGGCTGACGTTCTACCACTCGATCCACAGCTCCACTTCCAGCTTTTGGGATAAACTGGAGGTGAGAATCTCTGGCCTTTTGATCGGACTGGCTTTGAACCACAGCCCTCACATCTCAGCCTCCCGAGGAGCTAGAATCACGGGCCTGAGCCCCTTTTTCCAGTCGTGGGGCTGAAGTCCCCGAGCTCCCCCTGCTCAAGGGCAGCGCTGCCCGCTGGGCCCAGCTCTCCCCAGCGGCCGGGCCGGCGCTGAGTGCGGACAGAGGGCTGATGTTCGGAAACCACCACCACTTGACGGGGTCCAGGACACACGCTACCGGGGAAGGGGGGGGAGCGAAGGGGCGGGAGGAAGGACCGGGAACGGGGGGGGGCGCTGCCCCCCCAGGGCCCGTCATCAGCCGTCGGTCCAGGTCCAGGCCTCTACCTCCGGTGAGCCCGCCTCGGCTGCGGGCGGGCGGGCGGGCGGGCGGGCTCCCACCCACCCACCCGGGCCGCCCTGACCCTGGCCCCTGAGCAGCACGCCCGCCGCCCCCAGCCCGCCGTGGACGGGGCGGCGCGGTACGGACTGTTTTCTTCTTTCCCGTCTCCATCCGGCGGGGCGGACGGCGGCTTCCTCTCGCCCGGCTCCATGCCGGGTGCCCGCGCCTTGACCTTGGGGCCCCGAAGCCCTGCGGGGAGGAGGTGGGGCGCGGGGGGTGAGCGGCCAGTCCGGGGGACGGGCTGGGCGCCGGGGGGCCCGCGGGGGACCCCGCCCGCCCGGGTCGGGCGGCTGCGGAGTTTGGGGCGCGGGCCTCGGGGCGGCTCTGGGGCTCGGGTCCCCCCCGGGCGCGCCCGGGCGGGGCGCGGGTCTGTTCGGTCCGCGGAGAACCCGCGGGGTTCCAGGGGGGCGGAGCTCACCTGGGCCGGGCCCCGCGCCGCGCACCCCGCCGCTCCCGCCCCAAGCGGCCCGGGCCAGCGTCCCGCGGTCGCCCCGGGCAACGGGCGGCGCGCCTGGTGCAGCCCCGGGGCGCGGGCGGCGGGGCGCGGGGCGCCCGGGCCGGAGGCCGGCTCGGGGCGTGGGGCTGCGGGGGCGCGCGGGCTGCGAGGCGCGCAGGGCGCGTACGGGGCGGTGGGGGCGGCGCCGGCGTGCGGGCTCGGCCGCCCCGCGGGCGCCGCCCCGCGGGCCCGGCTGGGGATCGGGCTGCGGCCCGGGGCTGCGGCCCGCGGCGCCGTCGGAGCGGGAGCGGGGGCCGGGGCCGGGGTCTGGGACCTCGCGGGCCATGCGTCGTGCGGAGCCCGCGTGTGGCCTCGACCCCCGCCCCGGCCACACGCGCCCGCCCGCCGGGTCACACAGGCCGGCCGGAGGGCAGCCGCGGCCGGGTCACAAAGACCGTGGGTCACGCCCAGCCCCGCCCCGCCCGCCCGCCCGGGGCCCAGCCACTGCCCCCCTCCCGCCCGGGGCGCCCCGGGGCCGGCGGCCAGGCTGGGGCAGGCCGCGTCCCCGCCCGCCCATCCCGAGGGCCGCGGACTTGTCCGAGGCTGCGCAGGCCGGGGGAAGCGCCAGCCCCTGTCTCTGTCTGAGAGGAAGGCGGGCTTTGGGCTCAGGCCCACCCGGGGCCTCCAAGAGGCCCAGCCCGGGCGTGATGGGCACTTGGCTGGGCGCAGCTGGCCTCTGGTTTTGTGCTTGCTCTTGAGATCCTACGAGGGCGGAAGAGCTATTCGCTGGAGATGGGACTCCTGGCTTGCATGCTCGCCTTCCAGCTGTGTTGCCTGCACTCTTCTTGTGCAGTTGGAAACCGTGGCCCCCTGGCCTTGAGTCCTGGCAGACGGGTCACCAGGTTGAGAAGTGAGGAGCTAGGAGCCGCCTCCCATCCCCTTGGCCAGGCTATCCCGGCTTGTCTTGCGGTCCCAGGCCACAAACACACATCTCCAGGCCTCTCCACCAATCTCTGGGGGAGCCAGTCAGTGTGTCCCAACTCGTTCAAAAAAGAACCCAGTATACCCTTAACACAGGTGTTATCTTCTCCCCTAGCAAGAAAAAAAATCCACTTTGATGCACAGACTTGTGAATGAAAGCACCACAGCCTCATCAAACAACTCGTAAAACGGTTCTAACCACATTCCCACTTTTACAAGGTACCCAGATCACTGTGGATTTATTGGTGTTCTTGTCAATTAGGAAAACCCAGTTACGCTCTAGTCAAGGAAAGACAGTTTGCAACCAAATCTTGGCCATGATTTTTTCTTTCTTTTTATCAAAGCTAATGTTATTTTCATCCCCATACAGTCCCTAAAGCCTGACCCAACAAAGGGCCCATACACACCTTGAGACCCTCAAACAACAGCGCTGGGAAGACTGGCCGGGCCTGGTGTTGGTGTAAGTGAAAATCACGTTAGGAGGTAAAGAGGACTGGGATATAAGGATCCCCAGCCTTGTGGGAAGGAAGATCAGCCTCATTTGTCACTCTATGACAGTCATCTGCGTGCTGCTAACGGGGTCAAGTTCAGTTTCTAATCCCAGAATACCAGCCCCATCCCAGAGAACACTCCAGGTGTCACAAGGGCCACATAAATGGGACACAGGGCTACTGGAGAGTAGGGAGTAGGGCCCGTGAACAGGCAGGTCCTGGAATATTTGGGGTACATAGGAAGAGTGAGCAAAGGCTCAGGGTGTGCCTATGACAGGAGAAGGGTGGCATTCCTAGAGGGAAGGTTCTCCAGCTTACAGGGGCACAGTATCCCTCTCGTTGGATGGCGTTTGGCAGGCTGGGCCTGGTGAGGACAGATCACAAGAGGTAAACCTAGACAGGGCAAAGGATCTGTATACACATTCAGGCCACAGGGGAAGGGCCAAGGCAGGAATCCCTGGCAGAAAAGGCTGAAGCCTGGAGGTCTGCCATCTCTGCCCTAGACAGCCAGCACCAGCACCCTCCCTGTCCCCGGGAGCCCCTGGCAGCTGTGACTGAGAAGCACTGACTCAGGACAGTCATCAGAACTATAAGAAGGAACAAAACCACCTCACAGCCTAGGCCACCCTGGGGGCAGGTGTTAGAAGTAGTAGCTGCAGGAGAGTTAGTCAGGTCGTCACTATGACTCAGTTTCCCCATCCTGCAGTCACTGGGCCATTTGTACGACAACGGCTCTCCAGGCTTTCTCCTTGTCGAACTCCTTCAGGGGGCTCCTGGCCACCTATGACAGGAAGAGCAGTGTCACCAGATGGGCCTCAGCAGGTCATTGGGTATGGCCAGCTGCCCAGCCCCCCTGCTCCCTTCATTTGGAAGAAGGGAGGAAAGAAGACTCTACACCTCTAGGAAAGGGACCCAGGCCTCCACTCACTCTTCTGGAAGTGCTGGTGTCCCTCACCTTCTAAAGTGAGCAGGTGCCTGAGGCAGATGTGACATGTGTTAGAGGGGAGGCCAGCTGCTGGCCCTGGCTGTCCACCCTGACCCCCTATGACTGTTCTAGAATCTGCAGCACACAACATGCCCAGCTGGCCATGTAGCTGCGTGGTGGGGACCCAGCTCAGGCGGGGCCTGGGCCAGAGCCTGGGCCTGGCCAGGACACCTCCCCAGGGCCTACAGCAGCCTGGGGCCTGGGCTCTTGTGATCGCTGTCCCAAGGCAGTGGGAGGTTGGCCCAGGGAGGACACTATCAGGAAGGTGGCCCATGAGAGGCCTCGAGTGTGGAGGGCTTTGGGCCCTCATAGGGGCCAAGGACAGGTCCAGGTGGTCATGGTCCAGCTGATGGCTGGTGTGTCACGCCCCCCTCACCCACTGGCCAGGGAGCCCCGGGTACAAGGCTGGAGGTGCCCATGTCCCACAGAGCCAGCATCCACAGGGGCCACGCTAGAAGCTCCTGTGGCTGTGAAAACCCCTCAAAAGCCTGTGCTGTGTCTCCCAAATAAAGCCAGAGCCAGACGCCCCAAGCCCATATCACTCTTCAGGAATAGTCTGTATTTCCTTACATATCTAAAAAATAGTGGATGCCAGACGGGAGGCATGGCTCAGTGGTAGAGCATCAGTTGTGAGTAGAAAAAGCAGACTGAGGGTTTGAGGCCCTGAGTTCAAGCTCCAGTACTGGTATACACACATAAAAATTAAATGTATTTAACATTTTAGTTCTCCAAGACTTTTGAGGTGTTTAATTAATGCAAAATGGGCCGGTTGCCAACGGCCCAGGCCTATAATATTAGCTACTCAAGAGGCTGAGAACCGAGGACTGAGGTTCAAAGCCGACCTGAGGAGTAAAGTTTAGAGATTTATCTCCAATTAACTACAAAAAGCCAGCAGTGGAGCTATGGCTCTACTGGTAGAATGTTAGCCTTGAGCATCAAAGCCTAGGGAATTCACACACACACACAAAAATGCAAAATAGTATCACAGAATGCAGGCCCTTTCAGGGCATAGGACAGTGCCCTGGAGAACAGGCCACTCACCTCTCCTGCTGGCCGGTCCTGCAGGCTGGTCTGTGCCTCCCAGGATGTACCCTGCATCCTTGCGCTAACCTTGAAACTCACGCACTGGATGGCCGTGCCAGTGTTGAGACCTCCTTGAAGCAGCAGGACCAGCAACAGCAGCAACAGGAGCAGGTCGTAGGCCTGTGATGGTAGAGCCAGGTGTGAGCAAGCACGCGGCCAGGACATCCCAGGGTCAGCAGGCACGCTGGCCAGGGTGCCCCCAACAGATGCTTTCCCGCTCGTGTCCCAGCTCCTTCATACACAAGGCAAACTAGATCCCACTCCAGGCTACATGCTCGGCAGGTAGACCCAGAGCAGACTGTGCAAAGCTGCTCGGCCCAGGCATACACCCAGAACACTGCACCCAGGGCCCCGGACCTGCTGCTCCTCCTGAGACCCACACTGGCAGCAAGCAGAGGTTCCAAGGAAGATCAAAGGCCACCTACCTTGATGGCTGGTGGGTAATCTTTAAAGATCTCCACGATTCTCATCACACTGAAGGACAGGTACCCTGAGGCCGTGAACAGCAGTGGAGATGTGAGGCTGCTGATGGCGATCAGCGCCTCCACCTGTGGGTGAGTGTGGCCGAGTGTTTACCCCGCGTGGACAGGAGCTGCCGTGCGGGCACATGGCTCCTGAGGGGCCCACTGCCCACTAATTCAAAACCTAACGCTCCTCTAAAACTCATCTTTTTAACTTCTCCCAAACTGCAGTGTGAACCTTACTTCAGGGCTCAGAAATTGGGGCCACACAGCCCACCTCACACAGCATTCTGGCCCCAAACAGAGCAATTGACAGTTGACAGTCCACTGGGGGCAGAATGAAGCTAAAGGACTGCCCTCCCACTCAGTCCTTTGCTGCAGGGATTTCTAACTTTCATGGACAGAGCAGCCCAGGGCAAGGGGACCCTGGGCATGGCTGTGAGCCCCTGCTGCCTGCAGTGCCAGCCTCAGCCCTTCCACTAGCCGCCAGCTTCCTCTCCTTCCCAGGTCCCCACCCAGCAGACAGCCCTGAGCACCCAAGTGTGCCAGAGCTGCCTCCAAGCCACCGTGCAAGGGACAGGCCTCCCTTACCAGGTAAGGGACAGGCCTCACTTACCAGGCACTTGCTGGGACACTCTGCTGTCACGTGACTGGCAATGGCACTTGGAAAACACTGAAAGAAAAGAATGAGAAAGAGAGAGGGAGGGGGAGAGAGAGAGAAAGAGACTGAAGTGCCATCTCTGCACTTCAGACAGCAAAAAGGAGGTGTGGCCGGGGGTGGTCCTGCTGCGAGTCTCACCCCCCCTCCAGGTGCGTGGCTCTTCACTGGCGCCCAGGGAATTGCCTGGAGCCCCAGGCCCTCACAAGAGAACTGTAGTCATGCACCGCAACCACCTCCGCCACAGCAGAGCTGCAGGCGGGCATGTGCTTCCTCCTGGCTAAACATAGGGACTTTGGGGCAGCTTCTAGAAGAGCCCTGCTGGCTCACGGAGCCTAGGCACAAGGTGGGGGATGTTTATCTATCTTCTTTGTTTCTATAAAGCTGACTTTTAGCACCATGTAAAAGTCTATGTAAGTGGAGGTGCAGATGCCGCTCGGTGGTGAGCCGAGGGTGGGAAGACCCTGGGTTCCATCCACTGCACCACACAAAAAAAGTAAGCTAATGAATGAAGTAAAATCTCCACACAGCCAGCCAAGCAGCTAGCTCCATGTGGGACAAACCAGTGGCTGCTGGCAAGTCAGTGGCAAGGTGCACAACAGCCGCTTGTGTCCGGGCCTGGAAGCCAGAGGCGTGGCCAGATGGTAGTTTCAGAGCAGGCTTGCCACTTGTGGAACGCTGGGAGTGGAGGGGCTCGAGGCCACGCATTCGGAGGGGTATGAGGAGTGCAAAACCAGCCGCAGCCACATCTCCAGGGAGCCCTCTAGGGGTATTTTAGACAGTGAACAGCACTAAACTATGTAGATGAACTCAGAATGACACAGAATGACAAAGGTGACCTACTTAAGCGAGTGACCGTGGATTAGGCACATCTCCTGTGCAAGGCCTGTGTTGTCTACCCAATCACAATATAATAGTAGGCATGATGTTGCATTTTATAAAATACATATTACAAAAGTATAGCGAATAAGCTGGGCGCCGGTGGCTCATGCCGGTAATCCTAGCTACTCAGGAGGCTGAGATCTGAGGATTGCAGTTCAAAGCCAGCCCAGGCAGGAAAGTCTGTGAGATTCTTATCTCCAATAAACCACTAGAAAACCAGAAGTGGTGTTGTGGCTCAAGCGGTAGAGCACTGGCCTTGAGCTGAAGAGTGAAGGGACAGTGCCCAAGTCCAGAGTTCAAGCCCCACGACCAACCAAAAAAAAAAAAAGTATAGAGAATAATAAAAATGACTTCTCAGGAAATATGAAAGTTACAAAACAACAATATGGAATTGCACCCCAGTGCACTTGGTCCTCAGGTCCCACATTCTTCTGGGCAGGGCTGGGGGGAGATCTTACTCCCAGGTGCCTTCTTATCTGAGCCAAAACAGCTCCAAGACCAGCCACGTTGTATCTAGGAGGGAACTCAGAACTTTGGCCAGGCCAGCTATGGATGACAAGGTAGTCGGCCAGGAAGTACTCACTGCCACTAAGATCCAAAAGAATGTCACAGAGAGGTGTGGGCCTGAGACAGCGTCATCCACATTCAGAGCGATGACACCACCCAGGACAGCAGAGACACCAGCCATGACCTCCACCACCTGAGGGGACAATAGGACATGTCACCACGCCAGCTATCACCGACCACCTGAGGGGACCATGGGACAGCGTCACCCTGGGTCCATCTTCCCATAGCCTGAAGCCTGCGGAGTTACAAGGGAGGAGCCCCAGATGCGCCAGAAGGCAGGGGCAGGCAAGGGGCTGGGGGCGGGGCTGGCTATCCTTTTTGGGTTGACAATGGAGAAGTCCTTAGAGGAGACAAGAAGGGCAGATCGAGGTGGGGCCCTGGTTGAGTTCACATGAAGAGCCCCAACAGAGACAGCATAGAGTTGACTCAGCCAGCAGGAGCACCGGCCACCCAAGGGGCTGTGGGAACTCACGAGAGGACTTGCCAGCCAGCCCAGCCTCCTACAGTGAGAAAGCACAAGACTCAAGATGGACAAAGGAAATTGAACGCCCGTCTAAGAGCAATTGTGCTTTTTTTTTTTTTTTTCTTAATCAGTCATGGGGCTTGAACTCTGGGCCTCAGTGCTGTCCCTGAGCTCTTCAGCTCAAGGCTAGTACTCTACCATTTGAGCCACAGTGCCACTCTAAGAGCGATTGTGACACAGACTGGGGGCCTCCAGAAATAGGACAGCGGCGGGCTGGGAAGTTGGCTCAGTGGTAGAGCGCTTGCCTTGCATGCCTGAGGCCCTGGGTTCAATTCCTCAGCACCACATAAGCAAAAAGAAAAAAGCCGGGGGACTGGGAAGGTGGCTCAGTGGTAGAGCGCTTGCCTTGCATGCTCGAGGCCCTGGGTTCGATTCCTCAGCACCACATAAGCAGAAAGAAAAAAGCCGGAAGTGGCGCTGTGGCTCAAGTGGTAGAGCGCTAGCCTTGAGCTGAAGAGCTGAGGGACAGCGCCCAGGCCCAGAGTTCAGGCCCCACGACCGGACCCAAAAAAAAAAAAAAAAAAAGAAAAGAAAAAAGCTGGAAGTGGCACTGTGGCTCAAGTGGTAGGGCACTAGCCTTGAGCTGAAGAGCTGAGGGACGGTGCTCAGGCCCAGAGTTCAGGCCCCACAACCGGACCAAAAAAAATAAACTAAAAAAAAAAAAAAAAAAAAAAAAAAGAAATAGGACAGCGGGGCTGAGAAGGTGGCTTGTTTTGCATGCAAGAAGCCCTGGGTTCGATTCTTCAGCACTATATAAGCAGAAAAAGCCGAAAGTGATGCTGTGGCTCAAGTGGTAGAGCGCTGGCCTTGAGGTGAAGAGCTGAGGGACAGCGCCCAGGCCCAGAGTTCAAGGCCACGACCAAACAAACAAACAAACAAAAAACCAAACAGGACAGCAATAGGGCCCCAGAAGAGGCCAACTGCAGCCTGGAGTTCCCTTCTGGGGAAAATCCTGTATCTCAATAATGAGAGGAACCAGCAAAAATTGAAAACACAACGAAGCCAGAACCAGACACTCTCTTACAAAGGCCTAAAGAATGCATTAAATAGGAAAATTAAGCCAGATGGGAAAACAGAAATGCAGAAAAAGGAAATGGAGGCACCAGGTACTGACCTAGACTGATGAAGCCAACATAGGGAAGAGTAAAAGCAGCGCACTAGCGGTGGTTGTTAGTGGACACCAGGGGCAGGTGTACAGTGACTCACACTGCTGGTACAGAGGCTGCATCCACTATCAGACACCTATCCATGTGTGGAGTTAAAGTGCTAAAAGAATACCAAAAGAAGGTGTGTAGCTTCCTATTCCAAATGAGAGGAAATGGAAGGTAGATTCAAAAGAGGCAAGGAAGGAGAAAAAGAATAGGAACAAAACAAGGAAAAGAGAGAATAAGAGCAGTGAAAATAGGTAGAGCTATGGCTCAAGTGGCAGACAACCAGCCTTGAGCACAAAAGCTCAGGGACAGTGCCCAAGTTCTCAGTTCAAACCCCAGAATTGGCACACACATATTTAAAAAAAAGTAAAAATACACCTATGCTAGTAATCACTCTCAAAAGAAACAGCTAACCTCAAAAGGCTAAAGGAAGAGCCTGACAGATTGGATAGAAATAAAATACAGCCATTCAATGTCTAGAAGAAACATACCACAATATATAAGAACAAGAAATTTGAACAAGAAATTTGAAAGAAGGGAGACAAAAGATACAGGGTTAAGTGCCAATTAAAAGTGACAGATGTACTTAAACCACAGTTAACGGGAATTTTATGGCAAAGGCATTATTAAAGACAGGGTGGTTTACTACCTAAAATGAAAATGAAAAATGAAATCCACTAGGGAGTGACTAAGCTCATTTCTTCCTAAAAACACGCCCCAAATCCAGGCCAGATATTCCACACGCAGACTGGGACGTTTATAACTGATCTCTCACTAACAGAATAGATAGACCAAAACCAAACAACCAGGAAAAATAGGTTATCCAAGACTTAAAACATGGTCAACAGGACAGGGTCCCCAAGCCAGGTACAAAGGGTGGGAAAGGACTCACAGGGATTGGAGTTCCGAGACAAAGGTGCCAGATAGGACACTTCTGAATCAACCATTCAGCTAAAGAATGCTGATCCTTTTAAGACAAGGCATTTTTGTTCCAACCACAGTATAAATGGGCTGATGTCTCTTTCTCGGACACAGCACAGGGCTTCCTACGTAGTCTGCATCGTGTCTGGTCCTCTTGGAAAACAACACCATGACTGGTCCACACACTCGCTCTTAAGAAGATAAAATAGGAAGGGAAAGAAGGATTCCTCTTACTGAGTAGGATTTCAGGATCCTGGCAGGAAATATCACTTCATCCAGGATGTTGGTGCCTTCAGCGATAGAAGCCTAGGAAGAAGGAAAACCTTTGGGAGCTGCTACACTTGCACCCTGCACAGGCGATCTGGCTCAGTGGTGCCAGCCACCACTAAGAGGCTTGAACCTCCTGGTGATGGCTCATACACCTAGGGAGGGTCCAACTGCATGGAGGAAGGGTCAGGAGCAATGGGCAGGGTCAGACTGTGCGTGTAGCTGATTATCTCGAGATAATCAGGAGAGCACTGTAAACACAGACGTGTTCCTCTCTGCATGTGGAAGTGTGCTCAGTCACCACCCTCACAGTTCACAGACACGTGAGCAGACCTGGTCTTTCTGTGGCACCTCGGGAGGGCACGTTGGGAGTGACACTGCTGCTATTGGCCCTGGCACCAGCCATGTCTGTCCTGTCCATGGCCTCAGTTGTGTGCCTGGGGACCCTTCAGGCAGCCAGACCCACGTCTAGGAGGCAAGCAGATCGCCCTGGCTCACCCCTTTCTTCTTCCTGCAGGGATCCTCGCTGGATCGCGCAGAGATGATCACTGTGGCCGCCATGAGAAGCTCCAGCAGGAGTAGAAGAATGAGGTTGAAATTGATCTGAAAAAGAATCCGCACCTGAGGGATACTATTGCCTGCCCTTAGGAAACGGTCTATCCCGGGCCGCCATACACCGTCCCTGGGCAGGCTGCCCCAGGCTCTCCCATCACTGGCCCACTCAGATGCCTTGGTTTCACATAGCTGTTATGCTGTGTGTTCCTGCTAATGAGGAGAGCTTTTGAATAAAGCATGGCTGCCATTCCTACGGTGCCTGGAATCCTTCTCTGGCTTGCCCACATCAGAGAACTAGCATTGCAAACAGGCACCTGGGTCAGGGCAGCAAGTGAAGTTTCCTTCCACAAGGCAGGGGATGATTAGAAGGCACCTGCAGGGCAGCTGCCACAGGCTGCCTGCTTTGGGAGAGGACCCATCCCTGCCCAACCCTTCCCAAATGGGGAGAAACAGGGACTAGCACCCCCAACCTCTCTCAATGGTCCATATTTCCAGGGCTAAGCTCCACCCAGGCAAAGGGCAGTGGTGCCCAGGGACCGTTTGCCCAGGCTCCTGCTGACCAGCAGAAGGTTGCAAGATTTAGAGAAGCAGAGGGAAAAGCTAAACAACAATGAAAATGCTGTATGTCAAGGTCCAGGACAGACTATACTAGACAAGAAGGAAACACTAGGCCATGCATATTATTAGGGTTGGAGGCATAGTTCAAGTGGTAGAACACCTCCCTGGGCAAGTATGAGGCTAAGTGGAACACTCTTCCACCCCAAAATCATATTCTGACGTAGTTTATAATGCCATATGGAAGAAGGGGTTTGGATGACAATTTATTTTTTATTTATTTATTTTTTTGGGTCCGGTAGTGGGGCCTGAACTCTGGGCCTGGGCGCTGTCCCTCAGCTCTTCAGCTCAAGGCTAGTGCTCTACCACTTGAGCCACAGCGCCACTTCCGGCTTTTTTCTGCTTATGTGGTGCTAAGGAATCGAACCTAGGGCCTCAGGCATGCAAGGCAAGCGCTCTACCACTGAGCCACCTTCCCAGCCCCTGGATGACAATTTAGTAAAGAAAAAAAGATTTTTTTTCTTAGGAGTTCATCCTATGAAACTCTAATTGTGTGTCAGGGATTCAGCGATCTGTCACTTGGAAAAGGTGCTTTGTAATCACACTGGCAGTAAAACGAGTAAAGGAAGAGCAACCGTAGGACCAACAGAGTCCAGAAAACAGAGGGGAACACACCCAAAAGCTGGGTCTTAATATCCCCAGTGTCATCTCTCTTATGTGCAAGGGGTGTTTCTCGGATCCTCCAGCATCCCTGTGAGACTGGCGAGGGCACCCTCATTCCAGTGAGGTAGTTCTCTTTAGGCGTCATAACTTAAATGATATCTACCCACTTTTTTAGTCCATAAAGTGACAGTGTGTCTCATAATCAATGGCATCACAGATTTCATAAGGTCTGGCATTATATTGTGTGTGTGTGTGTGTGTGTGTGTGTGTGTGTGTGTGTGTGTGTATTGGGGATGGAACCCAGGGCCTTGCACATGCAAGGCAACTGCTCTGCTAGTGAGCTACACTGAAGGCCCAGGACCATTTGTTTTTAAGCAGTGTTGGGAAAGAGATGTTAAAGTATTATGTATTGATGTATCTGTCCAATGGAATCAGTTCAGAGTTCAGAAGAGACCTTTTTTCTTTTTTTCCTTCAGAAGCACAGGTAAAGTTTTCAAGGCTTGTCCCCCTCAACAGCTACGACAAGCCTTTGTTGAGTGTCTCCAGCTCTACCCCTGTTGACTGCCACCCAGCAGAGGCAGAGGCAGAGACAGCGACCTACATCAAGCGGGCAGATTCGGTCTGGGTAGAAACAGAGACCCACTGGTGATCCACATTCTTTTTCAGTGACTCACGTTTATTGCTGATGGATTAAGGACCAGTTTGCACCCAAACCAGATTAAGCATGTCGTGGTAACAGCAAACGTGGAAACAAACAATATCTGAAAGTTGGGGATCTGAAAAAGAAAGGCAGAGGAGACTAAAGCAATCAAGGCAACATCCACCAAGTTCCAGGTCATTAACTGAAGAGTGTGCCCAGGTGAATTGGGAGGTGGGTGCTCTGTCAGCAGGAGGGCTTCCCGCCCTGCCACCCGGGGTGACCTCTGGCAACCTGGTGGGCATGGCCTGTCATTTCTGAGTGGGGCAGGCGCCAGCCTCCCTGCTTGAATGCCCTGCTGCTGCTGCTGCTGGGTTCCTCCCCACAGTCAGCTACCCAAGACCACCCCGTCTGTGGCGGTGGCTGCCAGGAGGCTGAACTTACCGAATTGACATTTTTCCTGGAAACAGCAAAGCCTACAATGGCTGAGGGAATGCACTGAAAAGAAATGAGAACCTGGGTGAGCTGAAGTGCTGATCATGGCAGTAACCCGGAAAAATGCACTGTGGCCGGGCACTGGTGGCTCACACCTGTCACCCTAGCTACTCAGGAGGCTAAGATCTAAGGATCATGGTTCAGTCAGCCAAGTCTGTGAGACTCTTATCTCCAATGAACCACCAGAAATCCTGAAGTGGAGCTGTGGTTCAGTGGTAGAATACTAGCCCCAGGACAATACACAGGGCCTGACGTCAGGCCTCAGGACTGGTACAACAAAACAAAAACGCTTTGTATACTGAGCTCTTGCTGCCATGTGCAAGGCCCTGGGTTTGGTGTCCAGCTTCACAAATATGATGATGATGGTGATGGTGGTAGTGGCAGTGATGATTTTTTTTTTGGTTGGTTGTGGGTCTTGAATTCTGGGCCTGGGTGCTGTCCCTCAGCCCTTCAGCTCAAGGCTCTACCATTTGAGCCACAGCGTCACTTCCAGTTTTCTGGTGGTTTATTGGAGGTAAGAGTCTCATGGACTTTCCTGCCTGGGCTGGCTTTGAACCGTGATTCTCAGATCTCAGCCTCCTGAGTAGGTAGAATGACAGGCGTGAGCCACAGGCACCTGGCCCAATGATGATGTTTTATATTTAAAGCTCCTGAATAGTCAAAGTCATACTAGCAAACAAGCGTTATAAGGAGTTCCCTCCACACTGAAGGATCCTTCAAGACAACTTATTCTGAAAAAGCATTCTGGCTAGGTGCGCTCCCATGTCAGAATATAACTCAGGATGGCACAGCATTAGGGGTGGCCGTGGCTAGACAATTACCCAGGAGGAAAAAGCACCAGTGTGCCTAAAGCAGGTGGAAATGCCGTTCTGTGCTCAGGGGCGGCCCTGTACTTGAGGCTTTCTTGCAAACATGCATTCTGACCCTTCTCACTGTGACCTCAATGCTCCGTGAAGGTCTGGGGAGCAGTGGTGCGGGGGTGGTGGAGGAGGAGTGTGACCCAGCAGGTCATGCTGGGATCATCCTCTGGGCAACAAGACCCAGACCTGGAGGGGGGAGGCAGATGGGCTGCAGGGGACAGAGGCAATAAAAAGCCCACATAAGGCCTATACTGGAAACTGAGGCAGGGACAGGGGCTGAGACAAGCCCACTTGGGATGCTCTTAGGCATTCCAAGGGTATCAGTCACATGAGAGGTTTCTGAATGAGGAGCAAACATGGAACACAAGCTGGGGTGCAGAATGGGGAGCTGGGGTGTGGAGGTGTGGCTGAGGGGTGGTTCTCACCGAGCCGGCTGCACAGCGCAGGTAATCCATCTCTGAGGGAAACACGTTCCCCAAGTAGAGCGAAAACCCACAGGTCACAAGAAGGCAGCTCTACAAAAGAGCCACACAGACCAGGTTCAAACACAGCCATCAGAGGACGGTACACTTGAGGAATGAGCAGCCAATGCTTTGACTGCAGCTTAACTGTCTTCCTATTAACTTCAACTCCTCCTGGAGGATGGACACAGCCTTGCCACAGTTTTCAAAACAGAGCTCCTTCCTCACCCTTAGGCCAGAGCAGAGGCTGCCACAGTGCTCTCTGGGGGACAGAGGCAGGGCCTCTGTCCAAATCAAAGGGAAGAAATGGTGCCTCTCTCCAGAAAACGCCTTCTCACTCGCTGGAACGTAGGCCTCAGCCTTACAAATGGCACTCTGCCTCTGTACTAGCATCCCAGCCGGCATCGGGAAAGCCAGAGTTCATGGGCTGAGGCTCCTGTTATGAGGGTCTGAAGGAGGCTGTGTAGACTCCAACCTGAGACCTACCCTCCCTGCAGAAGAAGGCTGTAGGGCTGGGGCCACGGGGAGTGTGGCAAGATTGCAGGAGGGTCCAGGCCACAGGAAGGGAGAGGTCCCAGCCTGCGGGGACAGCCATGCCCCCCATGACAGTTACTCACTGAAAATAAGCATTCAGAGGGCCCAGGAAAGCCCACATAATGGCACCCAGAGGCTCCACAGCAAGTTTGGCCCTGCTTCTGCCTTTCCCACCTGGGATGGCCCAGATTTCCGGCCAGGAAACCTTGTGTGGCCAGGGCAGGGGGCAGGTGACCCGGGCCTCTGAGGCCATGTCCAGCTACTCACCCCCATCAGCACGGAGAAGACCCATGTCTTGTAGCTGAAGCATGAGGGCAGCCTCTTGGACAGCTGAAGGTCCTTGGGTTTCGTGTCAGTGGTGTAGCCGGCACCCTGGGTCAGCCGGCCCGGGTCAGCCCGCCCTCGCTCCAGGGTGGGCATCCGGTCATAGCCCAGCTCCTCTCGCAGCTGCCCCTCCCGCGCCATGGAGCTCAGTACCCGCACACTGGAACAGTGACACCACAGACACGCTGGTGAGACTCGCTGATGTGTACTGTTCACTCCTTGTGACAAAATTATTGACTTGACTCTGAGAAAACTTCAATTACTTATGTTGTTGTCAAGAAATGCCTCAAGCTAGCCTTGAGCTGAAGAGCTGAGGGACAGTGTCCAGGCCCAGAGTTCATGCCCCACAACCGACAAAAAAGAACAGAAAAGAAAAAATGAAAAGGCTCAAGCCATCTTCCTGCATTACCACAACTCCCAGCTTACTACTTAAAAAGAAAAAAAAAAAAAGGTACCAGAGCTTGAACTTGGGGCCTTTCACCATTATTTCCTTTACAGCTAGCAAGCTACCACTTGAGCCACACACAGCTCAGGGTAGTATTTTGCTAGTTAATTGGGGATAAGAGTCACATGACCTTTCTTGCCCAGGCTGGCTTCTGAGATCCTCAGATCTCAGCCTTCTGAATAGCTAGGATTACAGGCATGAGCTACTGTTGTCCTGTTGTCCAGCTGAAATACTTTTAAAAAACGACAACAACAAAGAAATATTTCTTACAATGGGGAACTATAAACTTGAAGGAGAAAAAAGAAATCGCTTAGCTCTAAAAGCAAATAAAATGACTTTTCCATAAGACAATCTTGAACGATCTGGGTTCAAGGTAAGATTTTAGGCTTTGTTTGTTTCATCCATCTGGGTTCCTTAGGCTTTTCCATTAGCTACTTTTAGAACTGGAGGTATGACTCAAATGGTACAGTGCTAGCCATGAGCAAGAAGGCAAGTGGGAGCACCCTGAGTTCAAGCCCCAGCGCACGGCACGCACGCACGCACACACGCACGCGCACACACACACACACACACACACACAGATGAGCAACTTTAGTTAGGAGTTCGATACCATGTTGAGGACTCAACTCAAACTCAAGGTAGTTACTGGACACAGATTGCAGAACACACACCTACCTCTGGTTTTACTCCTGCGTGCCTACTTCCACTGTAGTCTGGCTGTCCGGAGCACTGGTCTCTGGTTGAGAAGCTTCCAGTGAGACCTATTCACAAATGTAACAAAAGCTCAGCCAAACTCCACTTTGGCCGGGGGGAAGGCACAAGGCTTCCTGAATTTCAATGAGGAGATGAAGCAGTGGATCCTAGAAACGCTTAGCTGGTTGTGTAACTGCTGGCTTAGAGTCATTCTAATTTGATGAGAGAAAGTAGGGGTTGCCATGAGGTAGCCTGTTGCAGACTCACCAAGAGGGCATCTCAGAAACAGGAAGCTCGGCAAGAATGGGATCCAGCAGATCCCAGGATCCAGCACACATGCCATCGAGCCCACATGAGGTCCAGAGCACAGGGGATCCTAGCCAGTGCTGTGTCTGTGGGGACAGTAACTTTCTTTATTCAGAAGTTGCATTTCCTGTTGTTCCAGGCAGCCTGTCACCCATTGCCACATGATGGAACTCTCCTTCTTGGCCACATAAACCTCTATGTTCTCAGCTTGTCCAGGCTGGCCCCTTAACTGCTGTGAATTCCACCAATGGTTCCTGTGGCAGCCCCAAGGGCTGGCGAGCAGGATCCCACAGTACCCTTTAATTTTGCTCACTAGGCAGAGAGAAAGGACATGAATGCATTTCCTTTGCCTGGAGACGCTGGCGCCCTGGCAGCTACGGTGACAGTTTCTTTGTGCATATTGCACAAAGGCTCAGTCCAAAGTGCTTTGAAAAAACCAGCTCCTTGAACTACAGCCTACATCCAGCCCGAGAGGCTTCCAACTGTGGATATTTGGTTGTCTAGCTTTTCAACCAGGTAAGAATGATTAAGATGGATTGTAATCCTAATCAATTATGGAATACCAACTATTTCCTCGGAGGTCAAGAACTTTTTTATGGGTTGAAAAAGATCTTCAAGTTCTAAAGCAAATACCAAAGCACCTGATTAGTGGCACTTGATCCAGCTCGATTGCAGCTTTCTGTGTTTCTTTTTGTTTGAGGGAAATGTTGAATGGATTTCACCATTTGGGGCCTTTCAAAGATTGATTTCTATTATTAAGTACAAGCTAGTGGCCTCGAATCAGAGTAAGGAGAAAAATCCTCAAAACCCCGGCGTGGGAACTATCATTCTGTAAGTGTGTTCTCCCTGTGGAGGATATACTGGTCCTAGAGCAAGGCCTGCTTTTTCTTGTGATCTTCCTGAAATGCCTTTCCACCTGCCTGATGAGTTCTCTTCATACCTTAACATTTATGCAGCAAATTCAATTTATACTAAACTGCAAGGATCTTCCTGGGTTAATTCAGATTGCTGTGTGGACAGGAGCACACATCATGTGGCAACACATTGACTTTCTCTAGGCTGTGGTGACCAGTCAGTATCTGAGTAGAAATGTGTAAGAACCCGATCAGGGTGTAACTTGGCTAGAGCTCAAGGTTGATTGCCCTCAGTTAGTTGACCCTTCCCACAGACCACTCCTGTGGGAAGCTGGATGAGGTACCCAGCCCCCACATGGCAGGTCCTCTTCTCCAAGGTCGATTTTCTATCAACCAAAAAAAAGTCCATGGGATCCTTCTTCTTCCTATGTGTACTGCCAACCAGGAGCAAGATAAAGGCTTTGTGGTACTTCTTCATATCTTGTAGGAAGAAGACTGGAATTAAACCCACAGATTAGATCTAGTCAACTAAGAATCCTGATGTGGAAGTAAACTGACCCTAACCAACACAGAAGGACACTCACAATTTGGAACATTGGGAACAATCAGATAAGCAGACTATTTGTGAGGAAGAAAGCCTCATCGAGTTTTTTGGTTCAGGGACTTATACTCAGTATCTCACACTCTCACTGGGCTTTTTCAATCCAGGCTGCCACGCTACCCCTTGAGCCACACCCTCATTTCTGACTTTCTGTTGGTTAAGTGGAGATAATCTCACAGACTTTTCTACTCAAGCTAGTTTTGAACCTTGATCCTTTCTCAGCCTCCTGAAGTGTCGTGAGCTTCTAGCACCTAACTCAGTAAGTTTTAAAGACTAAAGTTATTCAGATTTTGTTCTCTGACCACGACCAAATTAAATAAAAATCAGTAACTGACAATTATCAGGAAAATAACTTATGTATTTAAAAATTAAACCATGTGCCTCAAAAATAAACAAAACTCCCATATGAGTCCAAGAAATCACAAGGAGAAAGAGAAAACACAGGTTAGGCGTGGCAGGATGCACATTATAGTTTTAAATGTTTACACTTTAAAAAAAGAATAAAGTTGCAAAGTTATCTAATTTCCCATCTCTAGAAGCTAGAAAAAGCCCCAAGGAAATCCTCAACAGTAGATGAGAAATAATAAAAGTTGAAACTATTGAAATAATAACAAACTTCAGAGATGCTTCTAAAAAGATAATTGGCTCACTGCCTGTTATCCTAGCTACTCAGGAGGCTGAGATCTGAGGTTTAGGGTTCAAAGCCAGCCTGGACAGGAAAGACCACGACACTCTTATCTCCAATAAACCTCGGGAAAACCGGAAGTGGCGCTGTGACTCAAGTGGTAGAGCGCTCGCCTTGAGCTGAAGAGCTGAGGGACAGTGCCCAGGCCCAGAGTTCAAGATCCACATGCACGTGCGCCTCCCCCCCCCCCCATACACGAGAGATGCCTTAAGCAGCCAGACCTGGAGCGGCGGTGGCTGGGGCTCCACAGACAGCGCGAACATCAAGTGGAGGAACGGCCTTGTGCAGATGGACGTGGCTTTACAGCGCTGGCCAGAGCCGACCAGAGCTGATCTGAGCTGACCAGTGCCCACCAGAGCCTTGCGGCTGCGGATTCCTCCTGCACACGAGTGTGTCCTCGCTGACCAGCACCCCAGCAGAGGAAGGGCCCCGCACCGCCCCCCCCCTGCACTCCCTGCGGAGGAAGGGCCCCGCACCCCCCCCCAGTGCGGAGGAAGGGCCCCGCACCCCCCCACTCCCTGCGGAGGAAGGGCCCCGCACCCCCCCCCCAGTGCGGAGGAAGGGTTCCGCACTCCGGCAGAGTAAGGCGAGTAAGGCGCGGCCCCCCGCACCCCCCACGGAGGAGGGCAAGGCCCCCGCACCCCCCGCACTCCCGGGGAGGAAGGACCCCTCACCCCCCCCCCGCACTCCCGCGGAGGAAGGCGTGGCCCCCCGCAGAGGAAGGCAAGACCCCCCCCCCACGGAGGAAGGCAAGGCTCCCCCCCGTACTCCCGCAGAGGAAGGCGCGGCCCCCCGCACCCCCACGGAGGAAGGACCCCTCACTCCCCCCGCACCCCCCTTGGAGGAGGGCAAGGCCCCCGCACCCCCCGCACTCCCGCAGAGGAAGGCGCGGCCCCCCGCACCCCCACGGAGGAAGGACCCCTCACTCCCCCCGCACCCCCCTTGGAGGAGGGCAAGGCCCCCGCACCCCCCACACTCCCGCGGAGGAAGGCGCGGCCCCCGCACCCCAGCCCCGCGCCCTCCGCGGCGCCCCCCTCCCCCGCAGCATTGAATCAAGGAACAAGAAAGAAGAAACCAGGACCCTGTGTTCCCGCAGAGCGGTGTGGGTTTACCCCACGGACACCGCACACTAGCAACTGGCCAGAACAGGAAAAGCGGGAAAACAAGGTCCAGGGAGGAAACCCTGGGGGGACGCAGGACGCGAGAGGCGCCCGCCGCGCAGGCCCCGCCCACCGGCAGGATGCTCCCACGTGACAACGGATGCCAACCGCTAACCTCTGACAGCTAACGGTCACCCTTCGTCCGCGGACACTATTGGCCCATGTCCGTGGGAGGCGCAGGCGCAAGCACGACGACCCGATTGGCTGAGCATTTCCGGGCGGCGGCCTCTGGCGGCGGCGCAGGCGCGGGCGCGGCTCCCTGATTGGCCGAGTAGGACGGTCGCGTGCAGGCCTCGTGTGGGCAGCAAGGCCGAGGTGCGGGGCGTCGCCATGCTGCGCCTCGCGGCCAAGCTGGTGGCCTTTTTCTGGAGGAGGGAGGATGCCCCTGAGGAGGAGG